GGATGTCATGCAGGGGGAGCGACCAATATAGGAGTTGTAATACTCGTACATATTGCATATGATAACTATAACTCTTCTTCTGCGCTTTTCTCTAGTTGCATCCATTTATATAAGTATCATATTGGCTAACACATAAGCATCAATAAATTAGTTATAATTACATTGGGCACAAACATCACAATAAACATATAAATATAATCATATAAGCATCGCTCAATAAGACAAGCACCAAGATGTTTAAATTTTCATAGCAAATAAAAAACAATACAAAAACATAAATATCCCATACGAATGTAAATAAAAAAAGTCTTTCAAATGTTCCCGTGATCACAAAAATGTCATAGGTATACCATCCTACGGTCTTCGGGAATCTTGACGAGAACTCTTAAAACAAGTACAATGGCAAATCCTTAGAAATCTTCCTATTTGTATTCAGAACTTGCACAACCTATGAGATAGAATTTGTTTGAGATGTGTGAGGTTCGACGCTGCAAGTGGCCACCAGCTGTTAAATTTGGCTTCTAAGGAAAGCACCCATAACTTTTTTTTTATTCTCAACCCGCGAACGTCTAAAATGGCAGGTGGACTCAATTTCATGGAGGTCCGGGCCGGGGACTTCAGTTGAATGACCTAATTGGTCGGCTCCCAAGTTATCGGGGGTGCCAACACCCCTAAACATTCGATCCAAATTCTCCTTCAACTCAGGATCAAGTCCACATATTTTAAATATTTTTGCAGCATACACCACCTACAAATTCATAACATCTAGTTCAATTTAAAAACAAAATGAAATTGCCCAATTAGGTGAAATGTCAAAATTTTTACTACAACTCTTTTTGCCCACCACTCATCGGGAGCATCAATGGTTCGTTTCACCGGATCCCACTCCAGACCCGTTGATCCTTGTTTTAATTCCTTCTAAATTTTTCAATCCTTCCTTAGTTGATCTCATTTGTTCTTCAATTACATCCTGTTGTATTCTCTTTCTATACTTTCCTTAAATTTTCTGATAGTATTTTGTCACTCTTCCTTGTTAAAATAAGAAGTAAGTCTATTTCTTAGATTGATCTCCTTGAGACGAAGGTCAAAAAATATTATTTTTATCTCTTTGTCCCAAATTATTGGTGTACCAACCTCTTTAGTCTTAACCAATATATTATTATGATGAAAAACACAAAGTAACATATACAACAAGTTAATAATATATGCACATACCAACAATCAACCACACACACACCACCACACATCTGTACCCCTCCACACACACACCACCACACATCTTTCCCTCCACACACACCATCACACATATTCCCCTCTGCACACATGCCAACACATCCACCCTCCATACACACACCACCACACATCTACACACACAAAACCACAAAACCACAACACCATCACACATCAAACAACAACACCACACATCCACACATACCAGCACACAACGCCATCCCCAACCCCTCCGTCCATATTGGCATTACCATGCCCAACCCCACCTACATCACCACCTTCGGCCACATCATCACCACATCGACACTACCTCCACCTCAAATTTTCACTCAAAAATTTCAAATCCAAATGTATAAATGAAATAGTAATGAGGAACATTAATAGATATGTGAAAGCATAAGAATTGTGATTGTCAGTGAATAATCTAATGATAAATTAAAATAGATCAATCTCATCAAATCCATAACAATCCCACAATATTTACAAACCAAAACACACAACTATTTTCTATTTACAAACATAACACATAGCTCTTTTTTTCAAAAATATTTAATATCACACTAAAGAGAGAACTTTATGCACTTATGATAGGTCTCATGTATGTAAAAATATATGATTAATGATTAAATATGTTAAGAAAATCTTCCAAAAACCACCACCCCAAGCCACAGCCAAAAACCACCAACACAAGCCACGTTAACCACCCCAAGCCACAACCACCATCCCAACCCATAGACAAAAACCACCACCTAAGCCACAACCACAAACCAAGCTACAACTATCACCTCAAACCATATTAACCACCTCAAGACATAGCCACCACCCCAACCCATAGACAAAAAGCACCAGCCCAAGCCACAAACACAAACCCAAGGCATAACCATCACCTCAAGCCACATTAACCACCTCAAGCTACAAATATCACTCCAATCCACAGACAAAAACTACCACCCAAGCCATAGCCACAAACCCAAGCCACGGCCATCACCTTAAGCCACATTAACCACCTCAAGTTACATCCACCACTCTAACCTACAGAAAAACCACCACCCCAAGCCATAGCCACACTCGAGCCACAACCATCACCTCAAGCCATAACAATCACCTCAAGTCATAGCCGCCACCCCAACCCACAACACCGGCCATCACAACACAACCCACAGCCACAACCATCAACAAACCACAACACTGGCCAACACAACATCACCAACAACACTTGCCAACACAACATCACCAACAACACTTGCCAACACAAAGCAACCCATGACCACAACACTGACCAACAAAACAACACAACAAACCACAAACACAACCTAAAACTGGTCATCACAACACAATCCATAGCATTGACCAACACAACACAACCCATAGCACTGGTCATCACAGCACAACCCACAACCACATCCTACAACAAACCACAATAATGATTAACACAACACAATCCACATCACGACAAACCATCACACCACACAACAACATTAGCTGCCACACCACCACGACAATCCAATATTGGCCAACCACAAATTCAGACTGTCACAACAGAAACCCAATCGCACATCATAATAAACCCAACACTACAACATAACAAACTCAACTCTTCTTCTCAAATTCACAAAAAAAACAGAAGAAACTATCACAACAGAAACTCATTGACTCAACAAAACAAACCCAAATATTCTCAAATTCACAATAAACAGAACATACCATCACAACAAAAACTCGTCAGCACAGTAAAACAAACCCAACACCACAACACAAAAAAAAAACAAATCTTCTTCTCATATTCACAACAAACATACTTCCCAACACCTCTGCCTTCATCACCATCATAACAAATCAATAGAGACATAAAAAAAATCCAACAAAGAAATCAATACCCAGCAAAAACAAGAAACCAAAATGGTGTACGTGAGAGAGTATATGGAAAGGGGATACTAGAGTTCAGAATGAGAGTCTGTAGAGGAGATCACAGAGGAAGGTTGGGTTAGGGCAGACGATGAGCGAGAGATCACGAGGAGTTTGCAAAGGAGATCGAGTTAAGGCAGACAAGGAATCAGTAGATGGCGGAGGGGCGAACAGGTAGATAATTTTGTAAGAAACGAGGGTCGCGAGTCGAACCCGCAAACCTTGTTTTACCTAAACGCACCGCGACGCTGTGGTAAAGCCACCCCAAAAGAACAAAAAATTCGGCATCGAACTGAGCCGTGGCCCGAATGCAACCCTAAACATGACCTTAGTTGATATATTTTGGTTAGCTTTTAGTCTGGACACCAATCGACATTTGTTTTTGGAAGCCGATCGATTTTGAGTGAGGTAGCCAATTGGCCTTAGAGCGGATGGTCAGCTTATCTTATTATAGTTCCTTGGTGATCTCTAATGATCTTTGGGAGACCTCTTGAGAGAGCTTCGTGTTGATACCTAGAGATTGTTAAGGGTTTAGACCTTTGACCGGTTGTTAGCATGAACACCTGTCCTTGATTGGCCTGGGCGGCCCTTTGGTCATCAATCTGGCCCTCAGTCAATCGGTAGTCTTTCGGTTGTCGTTAGCTGGCAATTAGGCGCTATGTGTTATTTATATGATCAGATTCACGAGAACTTATAGCTTTTCGTCTTAGGGGTCCTAATAATTTCTCTTTTAATCCGACCCATTAGATTTTCTCAAGATTTGTGCATATCATTTTTGAGTGTGTATATATATATATATATATACTA